GATTGCTATGAGTCAGTACCAACTCGATGGCACCTAACAACAACAACAACAAATACTCATACCTGGAACTATATGTATTCAGTTATTTGCTGTTATTCAATGCATTTTACGAGGAGGAAACTGAGGTACAGAGAAAGTAAATTCCTTACTCAAGATTACAAAACCAGTAAGTGGGATATAAGTGGCAAAATATATTTCCTTTCAGTTTGTTGTTGTCAAGTGCCATTGAGTCAGTTCTGACCCATAGCGACCCTATAATAGGGTTTCTGAGGGCAGCTGGTGAGCTTGAACCGCTGACTTTGCAGTTTAAACGGCTTTGCAGTCTGGCGCATTAACCCTATAAGATTAATGCAAACCACTTTGTATAATTAGCTAGTAAATACATTGAATACATTCACTTTGTAAACAGATGCTTCTCTCATTCCAGAAAAACTGACATAATTCTTGCCATTTGATCAAATAGAAAATTTTGTCAAAAAAATACGTATATTTTGAAAGATATAATATTGTAACTCACTTTTAGTGTTTTTCTTCACTTATTGTTAAAGTCGTTCATACAGTTTAGGTACTATTATCCCTCTTACCCTAAGCATACTCATTTTGAAATTTGATTTGAATGCCAAGAACTAGCAAGTATGTTTCACTGTAATACCTCTTCTATTTTAATTTTCTGCCATAAAATAGAGTGAAATATGTAGAATAATTGTTACTGTATGAGTTGTCCTTTGACCTTTACATGTAGCTTTGGCTCTATTCCCAACATTTCTGTTTTTAAACTTTTTCACTAACAACCCTCTTCTTTATTCACAAAGTCATCATTTTTTAATGATCAATTGCATACATATTTATATATATATAAAAAAATAGGGATGTTGCTTGTCACACACAAATGGCTTTTAGAGAGCTATTGGTTTTGTGCCAAGGTTGTCAGCTTTACAACAGATTGGACTGGTTAAGGAAGAAGCAATAAACAGCCTATCAACAATCATTTATACAAATGTTAATGAAATTAAATTTCTGTTAGTATAGCATATACGCCAAAATACAATTTTATTTGAGAGGTATGATGCAATAACTTTTAATAAACACACATAAACCACTTATGCTTTATAATGTAAATTAGATTCTCAGTGTTTCTAGCATGAGATATATAGAATCAGTCATTCATCAGCATTACCAAAAATATTTCCATTCTAAGATTTTTCTCGACATACACTATGTCTTCCAATAACTTTCAGTAAAGAAATGGACCCATCTCTATGCATAAAACCAAGAGTATTTTATTAATGGCTAAGAGAATCCATTCAGGGGAAAGAATATAGTAATGGGAAAACTGCCATATGTATTTAAAACATAAATAATTAGCTTCTTTTTTATGTGTGTGCCCTAAATGATAATTGAATCTTAATCTACCTCAGTGTAGGGTAAGATAGTATACAGTATATTGAAATTGTTAAAAGCTGGTTTCTTTAAAGCACATGGGTTTAATGAAAACTTTTACTCTGCTTTTCATGACAAAAAGAATAATACTTTCATTAATTTAAAAAAAATTTATTTCCTTTAGTGGTGTTAACTGCCATCAAGTTAGATATGATTTATAGCAACCCAATATAGGGTTTCCAAGGAATGTGAATGATGTAAAATCATAAAAGTTGTGTTCAGGATTTTATACTTTTGCCATACTTACTAAATCTGTATATTACTGTTGCTAAGTGCTGTCAAGTCGATTCTGACTCATAGTGATCCTGTACAGGGTTTCCAAAGAGCAACTGGTGGATTTGAACTGCTGATCTTGTGGTTTGCAGTCCAGTGCAGATCTTACAGTGCCACACCAGAAGTATACTGCATAATAATTCAAGACACTGGATTATATGAAGAAAAATGTGGCATCAGGATTGTAGGAGGACTCATTGTTGTTGTTGTTAGGTGCCATCAAGTTGGTACCTACTCATTGCGACCTTATGCACAACAGAATGAAACACTGCCCAATCCTGGGCCAACCTCACTACTGTTGCCACACTTGAGTCCTTCAATGCTGCCACTTGGCCAATCCATCTTGTTGGGAGTCTTCCTCTTTTTCTCTGACTCCACCTTATCAAACATGATGTCCTTCTCCAGTAACTGGTACCTCCTGACAATATGTCTGACTTATGAAAGACTACGTTTGGCCTTCTTGGCCTCCAAGGAGCATTCTGGCTGCACTTCTTCCAAAACAGATCTGTTGATTATTTTGGAAGCCTATGGCACTTTCAATATTCTCCGCCAACACCATAACTCATTAACAATGCAGATATGACCTTTCTTGCTGGAAGTGAAGGGAACTTGGAATAGTTAATGTAGATCATGAATACAAATTGAAAAGTGATGTAGCACTGGAGGTGCTCATTTTTCTGTGCCAAGAAATTTGGAAGACAGATACCTAGTCAACTAATTAAAAGAGATCTGTATTTGTATACATTCCAAAGAAAAGTGACCCAATGGAATGTGGAAACCTTTGAACAATATAATTCATATCACATGCAAGTAAAATTTTGTTGAAAATAATTCATTGTGGCAGTATATTGACAGTGCTGTTGCTGCTGTTAAGTACCATTGAGTTGATTCCAAGTCCTAGCTAACCTATATAAGGTTCCTAAGTAGTAGCTGGCAAATTTGAACTGGTACATTGACAGGGAGCTTCCAGAAATTCAGGCCCAGTTCAGAATCAGAGATGGAACGAGGAAAGCAGTTCAGCTTTGATAAGTTCACTAAAACAGCAAGTATCCACTTATTTTGTTCTAATGATTGCCTCCTGGTCTATACACAGTTTACTAATGAACACAGTTAAGTGTTTTGGAATTCCCATTCTTCACAATATGATCCACCTTTTTGTTATAATAAATACAGTCAGATGCTTTTGAATTCTCAATAAAGCACAAATAAACATATTTCTTGTATTCTCTGCTTTCAGCCAACGGAATGAAACATTACCCAGTCCTGCACCATCTTCAAAATCATTGTTACGCTTCAATACATTGCTGTTACCACTGTGCCAATACATCTCATTGGGGAGTCTTCCTCTTTTTTGCTGACCTTCCACTTTATTAAGCGTGATGTCGTTCTCCATGGCCTGGTCCCTTCTAATATGTCCAAAGTATGAGAGGCAAGTCTTGCCATCTTGGCTGCAAAGGAGCACTCTTCCAGTACTTCTTTCAACACAAATGTGTTTTTTCTTCTGGAAGTCCATGGTACTTTTAATATTCTTCTCTAGTATCAAAAGAGAAGAACACACTCAGCATTTCTCAAGCTGAAAGAACTGAAGAAATAATTGAAGCCTAGACATGCAGTATTGAAGGTTTCTGTGGGTAAAATCTTGAATGATGCAGAAAGCATCAAAAGAAGATGGAATACACAGAGTCACTGTACCAAAAAGAAATGGTCAGTGTTCAACAATTTCAAGAGCTAGTCTATGATCAAGAGCCAGTGGTACTGCAGGAAGAAGTCCAAACTGCTCTGAAGGTATTGGCAAAGAAGTGCAGGAAATTGATGGAATACAAATTGAAATATTTCAACAAACTCATGCATCACTGGAGGCACACATTCATTTACACCAAGAAAATTGGAAGAAAGCTGCCTGGCCAATTGACTGTAAGAGATCCATATTGGTGTCAATTACAAAGAGAGGTGACCCTACAGAATGAGGAAATCAGACAATATCATTAATATCGCATGAAAGTAAAATGTTGCTGAAGATAATTCAAAAATGACTACATGAGTATAATAAAACGGAACTGCCAGAGGTTCAAGTCTGATTCAGAAGAGGATGTGGAATGAGGGATATCATTGCTGACATCAGGTGGCTGTTGGCTGAATGCAGAGAATACCACAAAGATGTTTACCTGTGCTTTATTGACTACGCAAAGACTTTAAATTGTGTAGATCATGACAAGCTATGGACAACATTGCAGAGAATGAGTATTCTGGAACACTTAATTGTGCTCATGAGGAACCTATACAGAATGAGAGGTAGTTGTTTGAAAAGAACAAGGGAACACTGAATGGTTCAAAATTAGGAAAGGTGTGCACCAGGATTATGTTCTTTCACCATATTTATTCAATCTGTACACTGAACAAATAATCCAAGAAGCTTGAGTATATGAAGAAAAACATGACATCAGGACGGGAGGAAGACACATTAACAAACTGTGATTTGCAGTTGATAAAACCTTGCTTGCTGAAAGCCAAGAGGACTTAAAATCCTTCCTGATGAAAATACTTAGCACTGGTCCAGTAAATAGCATCAAGATAAATAGAAAACAGATTGAAGTTGTCAAAGACTTCATTTTGCTTGCATCACCCATCAACACTAATGGAAACAGCAGTCATGAAATCAAAGAATGTAATGCACTGGGCAAATATGCTGCACAAGATTTCTTTGAAGTGTTGAAGAGCAAAGATGTCAGTTTTAGTACTAAGGTGAGCCTGATCTAAGCCATGGTAATTTTAGTAGCCACATGTGAGTATGAAAGTTAGACAATGAATAAGAAAGACCATAAAAGAAAAGATACATTTGAGTTATGGTGTTGGAGGAGAATATCAAAAGTACCATGGACTGCCAGAACAACAAACAAATCTGTGTTGGAAAAAGTACAGCCAGAATGCTCTTTAGAAGTCAGGGAGGCGAGTCTTCAACTCTCATACATTGGTCATACTGTTAGGAGGGACCAGTCCCTAGATAAGGACATCATATTAGGTAAAGTGGAGGTTCAGGGAAAAAGAGGAAGACCCCCAGGGAGATGAATAGGCACAGTTTTAGCAACAATGTGCTCAAGTATAGCAATGATTTTGAGATTGGCACATTGTTTCATTCTGTTATGCATAAGGTCACTATGAGTCAGTACCAACTTGAGGGCACCTAACAATAACATAGGCTCTGCCAGGCATTCATGGCTGTTCTGATCGTTCCCCCACTTGGTCTCTCCCAAGATGACAGCTCCAGGTGTAGCTGAGCATCTTGAATTAGAAAGCAACGGATTTCTTGATTCTGCTACAAATTTGCCTAGCTGTAAACCTTCCGATCTTCTAAATATTCCTTTATATGTGGTTCACAGTTCTATCATCATCCCCTGAGCCTGCTTGGTCCGGTATTCTGTGTTGTTGGTGATGGAGCTTCTCACTGCACATCTACCCGATCCACCATCTTAGATCATGTCAGAAGAAACACTGAAACTTGCTTTCCAGCATAGCGATGCTAAAGAAAATGGAAGAAATGAGGCGGTCCAAGAGCTAAACAGAAAATTTCAAAGATCAGCTCAAGAAGATAAAATCAAATATTACAACAAATTTGCAAAGATGTGGAATCAAAAAACCAAAGACGAAGAACACGCTCAGCATTACTCAAGCTGGGGGAACTGAATAAAAAAAAAAATCAAGCCTCGACTTTTGTTTTTGAAAGATTTTCTGGGCAAATTATTGAATGATGCAGAAAGCATCAAGAGAAGATAGAAGGAATACACAGAGTCACTGTACCAAAAGGAAATGGTTAATGTTCAACCATTTCAAGAGGTA